AGGGGGTGAGGTCAGTTTGAAGTGTGCGAGATGGGTTTAATGGGCGTTCACAGGCGAAAAAGTCATGGAATTATCATTGTCCAAGGTTAGGCGTGCTTGGTTAGGGTTGTACGAGTATGGCATTGTGATATCAAGCTTTGTTTTTTAACAACTCTCTACACACCGGCTTATATGGTTCTTACATGTTTGCCATGCATATTTTCATGTCTACATGGACGCTTTTTTTCGCCCATTGCTTCCTTCTCCGCCCGCTCCTTCACCCTTTCCTCTTGCCTGCTCCCTTTACATCCCAATCATGATCTCTCAACCGCACCCCCCTTCTCAAACCAATCCAACCAACTACCCGGATACTCCCCCACCTTCTCCCACCCAGCCTGCTTGGCGAGCTGAGCCGCCGCTCGACTCCGGACCCCAGCCTTGCAATAAAAGATAAGTTCCTGGTCTTTGGCGGGACGGGGGAACCCGAACCGGTCTTCGAATTCTTCGGGGGAGATGAAGAATGAGTCGGGGGAGGTGGTGACGGGGATGTTGATTGCTGAGGGGATGTGGCCTGTTTGTTGGAGTTCGCCTGGTTCGCGGGAGTCTGTTTTGCCGTCAGTAAAAGGTGTGGTAAGAAAAGGGGGGGGGGGGAGGAAAATAAGTACCGATTATTGTCACTTTGGGCGACGGGTTTGAGATTAGTTTCTGGAGGGAGGAGAAGTCGTAGATTTTGGAGGGGTGGTTGTCGTCGGCTGGTGGGTCGGAGGAATAGGCTCTTTTTTGGAGGGTGGGGGAGGGTTTGGAGGTGGTTGTGAGGTGTTTGTAGAGGGGGCCTTGGAGGGTTTGGGTTTGGGAGTCGTGGTATTGACGGGAATTGATCAATCTCGTCGTCGCGATAATGGGACGGGTTGCTGGGGAGGGGAGGGCGGCGGCTCGGGGGAGGAGGGTTAGGAGGCGGCGGGAGGCCATTTTGATAGGGGGTTCAGTTGGGGGCTGTTATGGGAGTGGAATTGAGTGTTTTAAGATGGGGGTGATTTAAGGGGCTAGTGAGAAGGGGGATGAAGCTCTCAAAGGTGAGGGACATGAAAGGTTGTAGAAAGTGAGGTTCAAGTCAAAGCTAGCAATTGCCCCACCCAACGTCGTCATTTTGCGAACCGCCGCCGAGGGCCGTTGAGCTTGCGGCCCTTCAACGGGTACGAAAACGGTTGAATGTCATAAGGCTGAACTCGACGGGGTGTGCATCTTGTTCTACCTATATGGGGGCATTATCTCAACCACATTTGGCTTCCGAACGCTCCGAGAGCTTCTTCATCCTCCTCAACGAGTGATACACCTCGGACTCGGACTCCATTCCCACAACAACAGCTCGCATCCCGAATCTCACCACCCTCTCTGTCATTGGCTCCCCATCTCCGAAGGAGTACGCAACACATGAGCATTACCCACGACCCCAACGAAACAAAACCCTCCGCTGTGCCGTTCACAGTGACGGGCCATAAAACTCGATACAATCACATATCTTATCCAAGAAGAAGAAGAAAACCTATTTACACCTCCCGCCCTTCCTACCCTAAAAAACAAAAAACTAAACATTACAACTTTATCCCATCCATCCATTACCCCCCTTATCCTCCCTCCCTTTCCCTCCTTTCCATTATTTTCATCATCACTGATAGGTTGTGTTTCATATCATTCATCCTCTTACTATAATTAACCCTTTCATATCTACACACATCCCCCTCTACCATCTCCTCTCCTTAAACACAAGCGGGCAATGATCCTTGGGGAAAATCGTCGCAAAAACCTGAATCTCCTCACTCAAAGGCGTGGCATGGTGCTCCCACTCCAACTGCAGACTCGCCTTCCCCAAGAAGAGACAAAGATTCATCTGGGCGTAATGCTGACCAATGCAGTAATGAGGACCTGTGCCGAACACGAGGTAGTTCTTTGCGCCCTTGACCTCGGCGTCGCCGGTGTAGTACCTCTCGGGGTCAAAGACATCGGGGTTTTGATAGACTTCTGGGTCGCGAAGAGCGAGGTACGTCGACGGGATGACCATTGAGCCCTTGGGCGCAGTGTAGGTGTCAGTGATGGGGAAGGGCTTCTTGGCGACATAAGGAACCATGAGCACTGGTGGGCGGTAGCGGAGGAGCTCTCTGACCACAGCGCGGGTGTAAGTCATGGACTCGAGCTGCTCAAGGTTAACAGGGGCGTTGGGGTTTCCGTTGCGGGTAGCAAAGTTCTCAGCGCGGACGCGGTCGAGGACGTCAGGGCGTTGGGCCATGATCTGGAAGAGCCAGGTGGCGGCAGAAGAGGTGGCATCCTGGGAGGCGAACAAGAAGGTGAAGACGGTTTGGGCGATTTCGTAATCGGTGAAATCGCGAAGGACATGAGTCGGCTTGGTGAGACCCTCGGTGTTGCCAGCCTCCTCGGCGTCGCGCCACTTCTTGGAGGCAATCATCTCGACAACCCAGGCGTCCATGATGCAGTTGGGCTCGCCGCCGGCAGCCATCCGGATCTTGGACTTGGCGGCGCAACGGGCGAACTCGGCGAGGACCATATCGGCGGCCTTCTTGCCGTACCAGGTCTTGGTGAAGGGGATGATGATGGGGAAGTTGACGAGCTCGAGGGCCTCGGTGATGAGGTAGTAGTCGTCGGCGATCTTCTTGACGGCCTCGTCGCCGAGGTAGTGGCCGACAAAGGTGCGGCAGGAGACGGCCGTGATGATCTCGCGGAACTGGGTCATCCAGGGGACCGGCTTGAAGTTGGCGGCTTTGGAGATGTCGACAAAGGATTTGAAGTAGCGGTTGTACACCTCCTCCTGGCCAGGGAGGTAGATCTCGAGGGCGCGACGGGTGAAGAGACCGTTGAGACCCTTGCGGAAGTCAACGTGGGCCTTGCCGTCGAGGAAGACCCAGTTGTCGGCACCGAGAAGCTTGTGAGCGACATCGACGACGCAGGGCTTGACGAAGGCGGGCGAGTTGAACACCTTGCGGGCCATGTCGCGGGTCGAGGCGATGACGACAAACTTGTGGAAGACGGAAACACAGCTCAGGGGACCCGACAGCCATTTCGCGTGGTACTCCTCGAACTTGGGGTTGACAGATTCGAGGAAGGGGCCGATGAAGGGGACCTTCATGGCGGGACCCACGATGGTACCCTTGTTGAGGATATACCGGACTTGAAGAGAGAGGGGGACATGTTAGCAGAGTGCAACTGAGGGCAAATAGGCCACATATGGTCACATACTCTGGTCATAGACAACGGCAAGCGCGAGAAGTGTGACGAGGATCTGCCAGATACTCGCATTGGCGACTATCTCGAAGACATACTCAAGCTGTGGTGGCACTGGGACGGCACCATACTTGATTGTCGCCAGAGGCGACGTGAAGCTTGTCGCATTGGTGGCCATGGCGGGCGGTCGGGCGGCGTGTGTTTTCGGCGTGCCTCGGTGAGTAGCGCGCGCGGTGAAGCTGTTGACAACACCAACAAAAGCCAAAGGCGATGGAAAAGACGATGGCGGGAGCAGGCCGACTAGAAATGCTAGAGCGAGGGCCGTGTGGGCCCTGGTCGAACGGGGCCTGTGGACATCCCGGAAGGCCGGGAATGCACAGAGATTTCGAGTGGCTCGCCTGTTGCCCACCTTTCTGTTGCTGGCGCTGGCGCAAAAAAAAAAAAAAAATACCCAATCTTTCAGAAATCGGCCGTTGATCCTATCGAACCCGCCAAGCAAAGCCCTGAGTCCCTGCGCTAGCGCCTGGATATCTCAGTTCAGTCGCGTTGGAAGTGGGGATTCATCTCATGTTGAACCATTCTGTCAATAAACCACCACCACGCGAGTAACAGACAAACCCGAGATGGATTTGCCCTGAGATACCTAGTGGACTCCTGTGACACTATCCAAACTGCTGGGACAGCGACCACGACACTGGCACTCTCTCCCCTGTGTCCAAAGCGACAGCACATCGTGGGCTGTTGTTTTTTCCTATGTCGACGATCTTCCAGGGATGTCTTTTCTGGCTTTCCTATCGAGGCAAGGTCAAGAATACCAAGTCAAAGCTACTAGACTACTAACGTCTTTATCCGGGAGGCCAAGCCGGCCGCGTTTTTCCGAATTGCTGAATTGGTTTTGTAATTCGCTTTTGAACCACCAGCAGTTCTCTCTCTCTCTCTCTCTCTCTCTCTCTCTGTTTGAATTGGTAAGCTTGATGGAGCTTCGGGCACAGACGAGCGAGACGCCAATTTGCGGGGGACCCCGAATGAAACATGTCAATGCTTCCAGAAGGACGTCATTGTCGTCGCCGGGACGGTTTCTATTCCATACGCGTATCCAGAATTTCGTTTTCTACGAGGCTCTGGTTGGGTGGACAACAGACGACGTACTGACGCCCCTGAGAAAGTCAACAAGACAACTGCCAACGGCAAACTTGGGATGACAGCTGCGAGTGTGACAGGGCAGGAGCTTTGGCCTCGTCTGATTTGACAATGGCCGATGACAGCTCCGTTGTGCCACCACCAACGCATATCACAGTCCGGTGTCGGGACTGTCAACAGGCACAGAGAGCTCTGATTTTTCTGTACATCACCGGGAGATATCTGATGCCGTATCACCAAGTCATCTGCCCGTCACCCCGTATAGGCTCACGAGATCTCCCCTGGCAGGGACAAGAGAGGGGGGGTTTTCTTGTCATCTTAGCAGCTGGAGGTGTTGATCTCGCACTAAACTGTTAGCGCATGGCTTGATCACCTCAGTAGTCAAGAAAATGGTGTAAGTGCAACTATTTGACAACCGGTCGTCCAACCTATAGAACCACAAGGTCATTTTTTTGTGCTTGTTCAAACACTCGACACAGGAAAGAATTTTTTCTGTTTCTCGACATGTGATGCTACTTCCTCTTGACATTCTGCGAAGAAGGTATGCTAAGCCCGTTCTAGAGAGGTGGGGAAATACCATACATAGACCATAACATGACTTGGATTGTTCAGAACATACATGGTAACGATGAAGGAAGCTGGGAAAGCCGAATTGGCACTACTGAGCAAAGAAATGTACGGCCCGGCCTCGACGCCATCACCTCGACGTTCCTGTCCTGATTATTCACGCGGCGCCTAGCTGGGCAGAACTATCGTCTGTCGTTCTCAACCACCTGCCTAATTTGGCCTCTCACCACCACCCCTAACCTTCAGCGTGTTGAGCACACACAAGCCTCACGGGTCAGGAAACAACAGCCTTACGCAACAGGCAACGACTTCTTTCCGTCCTAGTAAACAAGGTTTTGGTGTTTCCCTGCTATGAATGCTACCCAGCAGCACCGGCACTTAAACAGAAAGGTCACGCTGATAAGAAGGACCGTGCAGATTCTAGACGAAGTCCGAAGGTGAAGACGCAAGCAAGGGCTGCATCAAGAGCGAGAAAAGTCGCCGGGGTCTGGTGGTATTGATATCAGGCATCCAGATACATGTTGACGACGACACGACATATGTCCAACAGACCTTGAGAAATTTTCTGATGATGTCGTTATTTTTTGCAGAACAACGGTGAGAATGAAAAGGGGGCCGTTGGTGTATTTACAACCCTTCTGGCACTGCTATTCCCATACCTTTAATCAACCGGTTGGCGGTGCGGTGGCATACCTAGTCACAGCCACAACTTCTCACCATAGAACAGTCACGATAGATCTCTCCGCCTATCTGCAAGAAGAAGAAACCTTTAAAAAAAATCTAGAATCTGACACACCGTCACACAGGGCGTATTTTTTTTCTCATTGTTACACGCGCGGCTACCCCCATTCTGACTTGCATCTATCTGCCCACCACACACGACACCCATCGCCCAGTGTGACGCCGTCCTGTCTTTGTATGTACACCAACAAGAAGTGACAATGGTACGAAAAAACCGTTTGACGTAGGCTGTGTACGCATGCACATTGACACCACGCTGCAACCCACTTTCCTTCTTTTTTTTTCTTTTCCTTTTTCGTCTCATCTCATCCTAGTTTCTGAACTACCTATAGCCAACGGAGCGGCGGGTGACTCACTTACCGGTGTGTGTTCTGTGTCTGTCTACTAGCATGCTGTCCACCACCCTTGCACACACACACACACACACAGATCACAAACGGGCTGCTGATTACGACCAGCCTTGCGAAGCCACTTTTCCACGGGTGGACCGACAGCATGGATCGGTAGTGTGGACATGTGTGGCAGCAGCGTAGGCAGCTACGTAGGGTTCACCAACTACAGGACGATGGATGGGGCTGACGGGAAGGATTTCAGTCCTTGGTAAGGTAACCAATGCTTGTTCTCTCAACTATGCCGTACCTGGTACTAGAAAAGCTTGTCCTGTCTGTCGTGTATATAAGATCTGGGTTGGACGCCCCTTTTTTGTCCTCAGGTTGTCACCAGGCAGAAAATCACACAGACACACACACACACACACACACACATACATACACTTGCACAACTATCATCGCACCACTCAAAACGGCTATCACCATTTATACAGTGACCACCACCATAACCATCACCATCACAACCACATCCACCACCGCTATTCTCACCACCAACACCATTCCCAACTTCACTTCCACAACCACCGCCATGTCCTCCAACAGTAAGCCCCCCCCAGCCCCATCACCCTCCCTCCACTAACAACCTCACCCAGCTTTCAACTCCCCCCTCTATCCCCGCAACTACGCCACCCAAATCATGGCCGACCAAAAAGCCGCCCACGCCCAAGCCAAGCAGCAGCAGTCCCAGTCACAACAGTCCTCCTCCTCCGATGACACAGCCTCCATAGCCAGCACAACCACCGACATCTCCTATCTCAAGTCCCAAGCCAAGTCCTCCAAGAGCTCCTCAACAGGCGGGAAGCCAGCAAGCAAAAGCCAAGTGATGAAGAACCAGATCAACATGGGGTTTTGACTCCCTTTAACGGTGAGGATAATCGAAGGTTTAGGGTCAATCTGCTAGCTGCCTCTTACTAAAGGGGAGGTGGTTAGCTGGACAGGAGGTGGGATACACCAACCATGAGAAGGATGGGTAGGGTAATGGCAAGGGAAACAAAAGAGGAGCATAGATGCACAGAATTGGGCTCAACATACACTCTTCAGTTTTTTCCATACAGCAAAACACGACGTATATACACCCACATACCACATACCACATACCACATACCACATTCCACACACCACATACCACATACCACATACCACATCCTACATCCAGACCCTAATTTTACCCCCCATCTCGACCCTCCACTGTATTGACACCTGCCACCCCCTTTACACCCTAAAAAGTATCATCCTGCATCTCCAAACTCATCTTCACCAACGTAGGACTATACTCCATCCCCCTCTGCCCCCCATTCCCCCCTTGTTGTTCTTGTTGCTCTCCCCCAAAACCAGGCACAACCCCCGTAAAATCCAACGTCATATCCCCCTCCCCAGCCCTCATCAGCAACCCCTCCACAATCCTCCTGCTCGCCTCCCTCGCAGGCGTCTGCATCAACCTCCCAGGCGGCAGCGCAAACTGAATCGTCTTCGGCGGGCTCATCCCCATCTCGCTCAGCTCCCGTTCATCCTCATCATCATCCTCGCTCCACCCTAGCTCATCCCCCGTCGCGTTCGCATACTTATCCTCATTGTACACATCCCTCGTCTTCCCCCCCTTTGCCGCCGGTGTCTGCACGCTCACCCCTGGCGTCCTAGGGGCATTAACACTCTGTTTAAGCGCCGCAGACCGATACGCCGCCTTGGTAGGCGACATAAACGCCGCTGAGCGCAGTTGTGGCAGCGCAATCTCTGGGCTGTCGCCCGGGGAATCGGCCCAGATGGGGCGGGAGGTGATTGTTGGATCAACACCGGACTTGCCTTTGCCGGGGGTGGTGAAGAGGGGTTGGTTAGAGGTTATTTTCCATTTGAGGGGCGTAACTCCCGTGTGGCCTTTGTGAGGGGTGGCCATGACGCGGAAGTTTTTGTCCTTCAAATGGTGGAGGACCGGGTCGGTATTTTTCTTGTTGCCTGGTTTCAAGAACGCCAAATCGTCGTCGGAATCGAGGAATTGTGTTGCCGTGTGGGATTGCTCGGGAGGGGAGTGACGGGGGTGCATGGACATGTCTGGGAGGCGGGTGGTGAATTCTTGGATGAGGAGGGAGGTGTTGTCTTCTTCTTCTTGCTTTGGGGTGGGCTCGTAGCCTGGCGTGTTGGGTTTTTGCGAATAGTCCCGCCTGAGGTTCTCGTAGGGGGAGGAGAGCGTCGCCATTTGGGAGCGGGAGGGTATGGTTTTCCCTATGGTAGGGCGGGGGGTGCTGCCCGAGACGTCTTCGTCGCTGTTGTCAAACATTGATTCGTCTTGCTGGTGCTGCTGCTGGTGCTGGTGCTGCTGGTGCTGCTGCTGCTGCTGTTGTTGTTGTTGTTGTCGGCTGCCGCTGGGGTAGACTACCGAGGATTGATTCGCCTCGAGATGGCTGACGCCTTCGTTGTGGTGTTGTTGCTGGTTATGGGGAGTGCTGTACTGGGCAGTACTTTCGTCTACTGTCTGTTCGATCTCGGTGCTCTCCTCGGGCCCGTTGTTGGCCAGCTCTTCATATCCAGACAGCGAGACGTTGGCAGAGGCCTCGAAGAATTGTTTCCAGAACTTGGTCGCCTCCCACACATTCCGAGAGTGTTCGCCATACTGTTCTACAAGAGGCAAGATGCTGCCGGTAACAATGCGGTGCGCTCTGCTAAAGTTGTGGTCGATTTCTGGGACATGTTAGCCGGGGCATATCTTTGGGAAGACAGAAAAACGGGCACCTTGAAGGGTAAGAGTGATGGATTGCTCGAGCTTCTCGAGCTCTTCGGTGAGAGTCAAAGGCCTCGCCGGCACGGTAGAACCTGGGCGAGACATTGTGAGTTTGTAGTGTAGTGATGTGTTGTGTTGGAGGTTTGTCAACAAAGATGATGTCGCGAGCATTGGGCCCATATTCAGCAGCGCGTCATGTCAATCGCGACTGCGGGGCTATTTTTGGCGGGGTTCCCATTTGCGATCAACACCACGCAAACATCTCGAGACTGGAAAATAATACAGATTGACACGCTCAGGGCGTTATTTGCTTCCAATAACCATAACAGGGTATAACCAGTACGCCTAACAATCTGCATGAGCCCTCCCTAAAAAGAAATAAAAAATTGGTCAGCGACCACCCCATGAATACAATGGGCGATAGTCAGCCTGTGGATCCTATCTACCCCGACCTCGTCCTCGCCCTCGACCTCTCGCTCTGGTGGCAGTCCGGCCTCTGGTTGTTGACCTACCGCCCTTGGTAGATGCAGGTGTGCCCGTTTCTTCTTCATCGTCCTCTTCTTCCTCGTCCTCTTCAGACCCCTCTTCCTCCTCGCTCTCCTCTTCACTAGGAGGGGGTGACTCTTCCTTCGCCTTGCGTCCTCTACTAGCAGCACGTTTGGCATTTCTACCGGTCCTGGCCGTCTTCCTGGAGGGACTAGCTGCAGGAGTCTCGTTATCCGTTGCCTCAACAGTAGAACTTCGAGTCTTAGTGTTCCCGTCCGTTGATGCTGCCGATGTGACTGCCGCTCGCTTCCTCTTTTTCCCGTCACCTCCAGCGGTAGGGTCATTGGGGTCCCATTGTGGCGGACTGGACGGTGCCTCACTGGGATCTGCGCGAGCCCTCTCCTCCATCAGGTCGACGTAGTCTTTAAAGGGTAGTCTGAAGTCGAGGTATCGCCTGGGCTGGCCCTTCTCTTCTGGCGGATCCATACTGTTCTCTCGCTCGTCGATGGCTTCTAAGTTATAGAACTCGCGTAGCTTAGCCCAGATGCCGGGGATTCGGGTGTGTGGCCATACGTCGGGGTCTATTCCGTGGTTACGGAGGTGCTCGCTGATGGCCAGTATCCGAAAGTGTTTGTGCATTCCTGGTGACTGTGAGCAGACTATCTCGGCGAGGTATGGGTGAATGGCAGGCCAACGAACCTGCTGGTTTCCACCGAATGACGCCCTTGAAAAGAGAAGCGACCTGGTCGTCCGTCCACGGGTCCGTAACCTCTTTTGGGGGAGCTGGTGTCTCCGAAGCGGCTGGTGTATCAATGTCCATCGCATCGTCTGGAGTCGCGGCGGCCTGGGTGCTTGCGCGCCCGCCTTTCTTCTTGGGAGGCATGTCGGCTCTGTTTAGTTATCTTGTGGTTATCGAATCGAGGAGAATTATCAAGGGAATAGCTGCTCACGGAAGATACGATGTGTGTCGGTTCAAGAATTGAGTCGGAGGAAAGTTGAAGCTTCAAGCTTCAATCGAGTCGCAGCCAAGCGCTACGACCGCTGTGGCTGCAGCGCAGTTGACAGACAGGGATCAGGGAAGCTTTAGCGGGTCAATTTCCGCGACTGGGGTGCTCCGTACGCGTTCCACTTTCCCTTCTCAGCGCTCAGTCAAGTGAAACACTACTACAACACCAAGCACATCAAAGATGGCGGGCCTTCATGATGTAAATACCGACACCAGCAGCTTTTTCTCAGATGCTCGCTTAAAGATACCCCCATTAAAGAAGAAATATGCAGACAAAGACGACGAGGATGACCTCTCTAATCTCTTTGCAATTCCCGACTTTTGGCGGCCCTCCAACTGGCTTGCCAAGTCTATCGAGGAGATCAATAAACAGAACCCCCTGTTTTCATGGGGAGCTGAAGGTATGTATTTCTTCCTGCAGGCTATGAGGTGCAGATGCTAACTAGTAATTAGGAACACAAGATGGACTGATCAGCTCTCAACTACAAGGACATCCGACTCCTGAACTTGGCCAGGAGAATGACGATGCTTTCTTTAAACTTCCACCCATCTTGAGAGATCTTGCCGCTCAGCATGCCAAAGCCCCCGGTGCCGATACAGCTCAGGAAGAAAACCAACCAGAGCTCGACCACGAACTCTCTAGCGAGGAGGAAGACTTTTGGCTTCTCCCAGACGATGTCGCCAGCGCCAAACCCCAGTACAAAACATGGGAAGCCTTTGAGAAGACCAAAGAAGGGCCTACCTCCTTCACCACAGAAGCCGGCCCAGCAGCCTTCGACTCCATAATCGCAGCCTCAAACAACGACACTGAAAACAAACCACCAGACATCCTGGACAACTCAATCTACTCCGCCTGTCTTTTGACTCTATCCCTAGGCAGAAGCTCCCTCCTCTTCACCTGGGACTCCACCCAAAACTCCTTCACCAAAACCGCCCCTCTCCTCCGCACCTCGGGCATCACCCTCGACTTGATCAAAGCCATCGACAACCTCTGCCTCGACTGCGGCAACTGCACGAGACACCTCCAGTACTACTCTGAAACCGCCTACTCCTCCCCGTCCTCCTCCCCAACCCGCATCGCCTTCGCAGGCGTCATCGCCCGTCTCATCACCACCGTGGGCACCGAGCTCAGCACCCGCAGCCGCAACGTCAGATCCATCCTCCAGCTGCAATCCCTCGTCCAGCCCGTCCAGACAGTCCTCTCCTACTTCAAAAAGCTCGTCCAGAAGGTCGCCACGGCAAAGACAGACGAGGCCATGCTTTCTGCTTTGTTCCAGGCGGTCCAGGCAGCGGAATACAAAGACGATCTCTTGCGCGCGGCTACCAACGAAGTCCTAAGAATCGTCTCCCGGCCCTGGACGGATTTTGTCGAGGAATGGATCGGCACCAAGGTGGAGGAGGGTATTCCCGTCAGCAAGACAGGTGGTTCAGGGAAGGGGTTTGTCAAGGTGGCAGACAAAATGTGGATTGACGACCAGGGGTGCGATATGGACGAGCCAGAGTACTTTCTAGACGAGTCAAAAATGCCGGGGTTTGTCCCCGGGGACATGGCGGAGAGTATTTTCGAAACGGGGAGGAATCTGCGGTTTTTGAGGGAGCACCATCCTGAGCACCCCCTGGCGCGGGTAGATGTGGTCGAGTTGACGAAGCCGCCGAGGTTGGAGTTTGAGTTTGAGTGGGAGGCTATTGCGAGGTTAGAGGGGAGGGTGGAGGAGTACAGGGGGGCTGTTGAGAGGGTTCTCTTGGCTGCCGGCGTGGGGGGTGAACAAACTGGTGATTCGAAGACGGAGGAGAGTGGTGCAGTAGAGTTTGCTGTGTTTGGGAAGTCGGAAGCGGAGGTTGCTACGAATATTCTCGAGTCGATGAAGCAGATGGATCAACCGCTGAGGGAGCCACCGCCGGCGGATGACCTTGCCCAGCTGCTGAAATCACACCTTTACTCCCCCTTATCTCACAAGACAGCCCTGTCACCGCACACCTCCCTTTTACCACTCTTATCGTTCAGTCCACTACTGACATATCAATCAGCCCTCCTGTCCCACCTGACTACAACCCTCCTCTTCACCTCCCACTCCTTGCGCTCCCACCTCTCCCTGCTGAATCAATCCTTCCTCCTCTCCAACGGCCTCCTCGTCGCCCGGTTGTCCAGCGCGTTGTTCGACCCTGACTCCTCCACCACCGAACGCCAGAAGGGCGTCGCACTAGGCGGCTCCTCGTCAATGGGCCTCCGCCTCGGATCTAACCGTCGAACTTGGCCTCCGGCGTCTTCAGAGCTCAGACTGGCTTTGATGGGGGTGCTGTCCGACTCTCTCGGCGGGGGCGGTGAAAAAGGAGGCCGGTTACCGGGCGACCTGTCATTCTCCATCCGTCACGACCTCACCCCGGAGGAAATAGACAAGTGCATGAACGTCGACGGGTTGGGAGCGTTGGATTTCCTGAGGTTGGCGTACACCACGCCGCCACCCCTTCGCGCAGTGATAACGCCGCAGGTCCTGGCGAAATACGACCGCATCTCCCGCCTTCTGATTCGGGTGTTGAGAGTGCTGCACGCAGCCAGCAGCTTCTCTACCTCGGGGCTACCGCCAGACAGCGAAGACGTCACGTTACGGTTTGCGTGGGAGGCGAGGGGGTTTGCCTTTGCGGTAGCAAACTACTTTTTTGATATCGGAATCGCAAAAGTCTGGAGGCGGTTCGAGACCTGGCTCGACACCATCGAAGCCACCCTCCCCAACCCCGCCGACAGCGCCAGAGCGGGGATCAGTCCTGAGATTTTGAGGCAGAAACAGGAGGCAACGCTGGACAGTATCATGTCTTGCTTATTACTTCGGAAACGTCAACAACCCGTTATGGCTCTCCTAGAAGAAGTCCTCTCCTTAATCCTCTCCTTCGCCCGACTTGTCAGAATCAAAGCTGCCGATGCCCACTTGGAGTTGCACGGACAGCAGCACCACGACGAAGAGAGGGACCTCTACAAAAGATTCCACCGCAAGGTCGAAGTTTTCGTCACCGTCCTCCGGGGCCTGTCCGAAAAAACACCCACTGCTGAAGGGAGGAGGGGTGGCAAAGACCAGGAGAATACCATAGAGATGTTACTCACAAGGTTGGATTTGGAGGGGTGGTATGCCAAAAAGAGGTAGTAGCATACATACATGATATCAGTAGAAAAATACAACAAACACTCCCACCACAGCCACAAAGATACCCATACTTGATAACATTGTGTATACTAAATACCAACTGGTAGTGACAACAACACAAAATAACATCCCCCCGTCCATTTTTGTGTGCCAAAAAACATATCACACCCTGTTCCCTTCCCCCCATCCCGTTTTCCATTCCCTAACCCTTTAAGCAATGTCAAACATGGGCTTCAGCTTGATAATCAACTGCCAGTCATCATTCGTCATATCCGCCCGGTAAAACTCCTTGAGGCAGTTGATGCTCGCTCTCGAAATGGCAGAGTACAGCATGTCCTTCTCCTCAAGCTGCCTGCCATACGTCGGCTGGTGGCTGCCCATCTCAATCTTGACGGCAACCGACGGTTGGCCCTTTTTGCAGATGGGGATCTGCTTATGCTCACGCTCGATGGACGTGCTGTTACAAGGTTAGCTTCTGGGATCACAATGACAGAAAGAGGGGAGGAGAAAAAAGAAACATACACTCTGCCAATATTGATCACCTCCTTCAACCCGGTGTTGGGGTTCTGCTTAATCACCGCAATAGGCGTGTTAATCCTCAGCGCACCCTCAACAACATCCACACCAACAACGATAGGGTTCGTCTTGTTGAACACGGCCACCGGCGACAACACACAAGGGAAGACAGCCAGCATCTTGGACTCCTCCTTCTTCTTCTCCAGCTGCTCGGCCTGGTGCTTGGTGAAGTTGTCAAAGAGATGGTAGATAATGTCGGCAGTGAAAATCTTGATGCCCTGCTCATCGGCATACTGCTGCGCTTCCTTGTCGACCTTGACGTCGAAGCACAGCATGACGGCGAGATCAGGCGACTTCTCCAACATGACACCGCACTGCATGACGTCGCGCTTGTAGACCGGGCCGATGCCAACGTTGGCAACGGGAATTTTGCAGTCCTTGAGGAAGTCAAGCAGGGCTTCCAAGGAACCAAGGGTGGACGCCTGGACCGAGACACCGCGACCGGTCTTCTCGACACGGCTGAAGAGAGAGGCGAGATCGGCCTCGACCTCCTCCTCGAGGTCATCCTCGTCATCATCAGGACCAACGACAACAAGCCTGGAACCGGCGATGGCGCCTTCAAGACCAGGAGCCGAAATCTTCACACCCAGAGCCGCCTTGACCTCCTTGTTGTGGACGTACTGAGACTTGACACGCAGCTCCTTGAGGGGAGCCGGCGTGAGCAGCGCTCTAATGTTCGTCTTGATGACACCTTCAACACCGCACAGCATGATTCGATCGCCTTCCCTGAGAATGCCGTTGGACAGGATGACATCGATGGTCATACCAAAACCCTCGATAGCCTTGACCTCGAGAACGGTGGCCTCGACCTCGGACAAGTACATGAGCGAGCCGACCATCCTCTCCTGAGTAAGCTGAGCAATGAGCTTGAGCAAGTCGGGGATGCCCTCGCCGGTGTGGGCCGAGGTGGGGATCAGCGAGACGTATTTGGACATGTTCTTGTTCTCGTAAAAGACCTCAGAGTTGAAACCCTGCTCGGCGAAAGCAAGCTTGGTCTGGTCGAGACGGTTCTTGAACTCGTTCTGGACGGCCTTGCTCTGCAGAGCCAACGAGTCCTGGAAACCATTGTTGTCAATCTTCTTCCAGCCGTAGAGACGATCGATCTTGTTGAGGGCGACAACGAAGGGAGTCTTTCTGGCCTTGAGCAAGTTCATCGACTCGATGGTTTGAGGCTCGAGACCGTGCATGATATCGACCACCAAGATGGCAATGTTGCACAGAGACGAACCACGGGAACGCAAGTTGGAGAAGGACTCGTGACCGGGTGTGTCGATGATGAGGAGACCGGGGACCTTGAGCTCGAACTTGCCATCCCGGTTGACGACGGCAGTCTTTTGGCGAATGGCATCGGCAGGGAAGTATGTAGCACCAATCTGCTGCGTGATACCGCCAGCTTCGCCCTCCTGGACGTTGGTCTGACGGATCTTGTCGAGCAGCTTGGTCTTTCCGGTATCGACGTGACCGAGAATGCAGCAGATGGGCGAGCGAAGGTTATCCGCAGACCGGGCAGCAAGAGCGGCCTGGTGAGCCTTTTCTCTGCGCTCGGCAGCCTCTCTCTTTCTCTTTTCCTCGGCAAGCTTGGCGGCTGTCGTCTCCTCGTCCTCGGAGGATTCCTCGTCAGAGTCTTCCTCTTCCGACTCGGACTCGTCTTCATCCTTCTTCGGCCTCGAAGGCAGAGTCTTCTTCTCGCCCTCCTCACCAGAGTCGGCATCCCAGCTGTCCTGGACCTCTTCCTTATCCGACGCGGCGGCGGCCTCCCAATCCTCATCAACGCTGTCCTCAGCAGCGGCCTTGGCGGCAGCGGCCTTCTCAGCAGCCTCCTTCTCAGCCTTCTCACGAGCAATGCGCTCCTTTTCAGCCTGCTCCTTGGCGGCAGCCTCAGCCTGGAGCCTAGCGCGCTCAGCAGCCTCAGCAAGAGCCTTTTCCTCGTCGAGCTTCTTTTGCATAGCACCACCTCTCCTCTTCTCAACCTTTGGCTTCTTCTCCTTCTTCTCCTCGCCCTCCTCGCCAGCCAGAGCGCCAACCTTGATGCCAGAAGCCAACATCTGCTGGAGCTTCCTTTCATTGCGGGCCTTCTCCTCCTTTTGAGCCTTGGTCATGTACTTGCCCTCCTTCTTGAGCTGCTCGATTCTTTCCTTCTCCTTTTGCTTCTTCCTCGCCTTCTCCTCCTCCCTCCTCTTGGCCTCCTCAGCCTCGCGGCGCTCCTCCTCCTCTATCCTCGCCTTTTCCTCGGCGGCGATTCTCTCATTCTCCTCCTGGGCGCGACGGAGAGCCTCTTGTTGCTTCTGAAGAGCAGCAAGCGCAGCAGGAATCTTCTTCTTCTTGCCACCGGCAGGCTCAGCGGGAGGTGGGGCGACAGCAGCGGCCGCGGGGGCAGGAGAATCCGGCTTCTTCTCCTCGGCCTTAGCAGGCTCGGCCTTTGCAGGGGCAGTCGCCTTCTTCTTGGCAGCCTATTGTTCCCACCATTAGCAATCATTCCCCTTCAGATTTTGTCGAACAAAAACATACCTGCTCCTTCTTCCTCTGCTTCTCCCTCTCCTTCTTGAGCTTCTCCTTCTCAGCCTTGGTCAACACCCTCCCCCCCTCAGCCAACTCCTCCTCCTCCTTCTTCTCGGCCGCCATGGCAGCCTGCTTGGCCTTTGAAACCTGAGTAACACCCTTCTGTTGCTTCCCGCCCTTCTTAGCAGGCAAAGCAAACTCATCCTCCATGCTCGCCTCGACAGGAGCGGCAGGGGCAGCAGCAGGGTGCTCATCAGCAGCAGCAGCAGGAGAAGCGGCACCCTCGGGGGCGGTATCGACCTCGTTGAGCCAGTCCTCGTCCATGCCCTTTTGCTTGCGCTTCTCCTTCATCTTCTTCATGCGGGCCATGAGGCCGCCGGCAGGGGCTTCATCCTCGGCAGCGGGGGCATCAGCACCAGCAGGGGCATCACCGGCGGCGGCGGCGGCGGGGGTCTCGCCAAAGGCTTCGGCTTCCCAGTCGTCGTTGGCCTTCTTGTTTCCCTTCTTTTTAGGAGGCATATTGGGCGGTGTTTTGTTTTGTCTTGTAGAAAGGTTATTTGCTTTTTCGACGGGTTCCTTGAGTAGGATTAAGTCCGTGGTTCTGCTTGGACTTTCGTCGTGGGGCTGGGGGCTGTTCGCAACAGGCGGAAAAGGGCGGTGCCTTTTTTGACGTTTGTCGGGGAAAATTTCACAGTGAAAACAAGTGAATATAACTTTTCCGGACCCTTGGTTCTGAGCACACAACAAGTTAATGTGGTGCAAAGTGGTCTGGTGTGTGTGTGATGGGTTGTTGGCAGACAACAAGAACAGCAAGAAATCAATCAGTCGTTGCGGGACAGAGAGAGCAAGTCAGCAGAGTTTGGCAGTGGCGGGCAGTTGAACAGCCTGCTGGAGGGGCTCGCAGTGCAGCGTGCCTTGGAGTTAAAGTGGGGCAGCATATTCATCCAGTTTCACCACCTTTTTCAATGTGAGTGATGAGATGGAATGGGATGGATGAATGGATGGATGGATGAATGGATGGCTTCTATACAATAGTAACTTGTGCTTGTGATTACAATGCTGGTTGTGCTTGTCTTTGGTCACTTTGTTCTCTCTTGGGTCGCTAGACAGAGCTGTTCTTTCACCAAACTCTTCAGCGGGCCCGTCCCCCACCTCTCGAAAAATATTCAGAGCTTCCAGGTTCCCCAAACTTCAGACTGAAGAAGAACAAGACGAACTTCTTCAAGGAGATCTCGAGTCACTCGCCGTCACTCGCCGTCACTCGCCGTCACTCGCCGGACCCGATTCAGGTCTAGTCTCACCAGAGTCGCCTCACTCGGCCGACAGACAATGACGCAGTGGTGGTGGTGTGCGGCGACACAAAAAAAGTTTAGAAAATCAATGCCCAGAGCTTTTTTGTCAGTGCGGGGCTCATTTTTTTGTGTGTTTGCTCAATACAGCAATATCTTATCTCGTAACATCAATCAATGCAATTATCCGAGTTTATGGCCATAATCACCCCCCTATGTGAGCCCCTGACCTGAGCCAACAACATCAGCCTGCTGTATGTTAGATGATGAATTCTGCTGTCTCGTACCTATATCGTGTATCAAAAGCAACGCTATGTATCCCCCCTCCCTCTAAAATCATAACACCGGCCTCAAAAAGTACTCCAAAACCTCGTACGCCTTCCCAAACGCCTTTCCCACATCATCACTCACCTCACCCACCCCCTCCACCTCCCCCAACAACTCCGCAAACCTCCTCTCGTAATTCCTCACCACCCTCTCCAACTCCCCCTCCCCCTCCCCCTCCAGAATCCTCATCAGCAAATCCCCATCAACCTGCATCTCTAACCCATTATCCACCCTCGGCTCGGGGTTATTATTCCAAACCCCTCCCTGCTGACTATACCGACTCATAAAAGGCGTCACCTCCCCATCCAGCAGCGCCAAATTCTGCACAAACCTCAAAAACCTCCACGTCTTGAGATCAAGCGTAGTGAAGTGGTGAAGCGCCCCATTGAGCGAAGTCCCCAACGTCTCCGCATCATCAAACGACCCAAGCAGCCTCCCAAACCTCCTCCCCACCCCCTGCTCCCAAACCGGTCTCGTCCTCCCCCTCTGAAACTTCCTCACACTCGCCGTGAGCTCCGCCTCAAAAACAACCTCACACTCCCTGTCCACCTGCCTCCACGGCACCCACAACCCCCCGACCCCACACTCCCTGTCACTCACAAGCGTGATCCCCCCCTCCTTATCATCCACCCCTTCCGTCCCCGCAACCTCAACCATGCTGACCCCGTTCCTCCTCATCGGATCAGCATTGCACATCCCCTTCCCCCCCCCACCACCACCATCCTCCAGCACCACAACCGAATCCCTCCCCGTCAGCACCACCAACCTCCCATTCTCCACCCTCAACCCAACCCCCGCCGACTCCAGCTCAAAGCTCCTCTCATGCCTCAACCTCTTCTCCCCCTCGTCCAAAACCTCCCACCTGACGCTCTGTCCGACACACATCACCACCCCCTCCCCATGCCCAAGAACCGAATACACCGGCTGCTCAAACTCCTTCTTCCACCTCATCCAGTACCGTATCCGACCCGTCTCCTTATCCCTCTTGACGCTCACAACCAACAACCGTCCCTTCCTCGTCCCGACCAAAAGATAAAAATACGTTTTATACCTCCACTCCGTCACCGCAAGTATGACATCCCCTTGCTTTCCCAGCCCATGAATAAAATCAGTCGGGTTGTCGTTTCGATCGGTAGGCACCCCGATGTCCTCCCCCGTGTTGGGGTTTATAAACGCCAGGCTCGGTTTGGCAGAGTAATTCACCGCCGTGATCAGGCAGCCGAGTTTGCTCGACCAGATCAGCTTGTTGGGCGTGCCGTCGAGGGGGATCGATCGCGGGACACACCCCGGCGTGGGGTGCAGTTCTGTCAGGAGGATCGTTTCGTTGGATATGAGGAGGAGCTGCGTTATCCCGTCTTCGGACGGCACGTCGACTGCTGAGGCGAATTGGACTGGGGGGGCGAGAGCGTCGAGGTGGCTTGGGTCGACCGGAAAGATCCGGATTTTCTTGCTGAATTTGTTCTCTCGGTCGTGGTAGCGGGAGGCAGGGTTCAGGCCGAGGTACAAAAGGTTGTTATCGCAGGTGAGAAGAAGGACGGGGTTCGATTGGCCGGTGATGTGTGCGCAGTTTAGTTTGGCAGACGAGATTCCGAATTTCTCGCAGTTGACAGCGCACGAGTCGGCGCTGGTGGTTAGACTGATGACCTCTCCGCTTCGGGTGCCGAGAAAGATGGTGCTGCCTAGAGAGACGATGCTGCCGATTCCCTCGACCGAGGATGGGTCCTCGATGCTCGTGTGTTCGGCCAGGACTAACAACCGCGTCAGATACGACCGAGTTGAGAATAAAGAACGCGATGGCACTTACTTTCCGGAACAGAAATCACCTCCAGGTTATTCGTGGCCTGTTGCAGCGAACACCGCACCAACGCCGGCCCAGATTCATTCAACGTCCCAACCAGCAGAGTAAAATCCTCGGTCAACGCCAGACTGTTCACTTCACCACCCACCTCTACCGTCCTCACATGCCCGAGACCAAGATGAGACCGCTCCATCTTGAAGACATGGACTTGGAACGTATTGCTACCCTTGTCATGAGCCGACACCGCAATACAACCATCCAAGATGCACGCATCAGACACTGAACACCCCTCAAGCCCAGAAAACTCATCATATCGATATGATCGATGATCACGAGGCAGGGTAAGCACAGCCCCCTGTGTTGTGACCTGGACCGTAAACGGGCCAGAGTGAGAAAACGCCAACGTCGAACCGCTCAGATTATAAGGCGTCTGGCCGGCCGCAACGAGATCAGCGCTGCTAAAGTCCGAAGGGAGCTGCAAGACCGACGTGGAGTCCGGCATGGATATGATGATCTGATAACCATCACCCATAGGGATCAGCCAGGCTTGCTTGATACCAGGCTCAAACGCAAGATCAAACGCGATATTGGCCTTCAACCCGTATCTGTACTCGGTAATCGACCCCTTCCTGCCACCCTCACACGTCGCAAACAGTCGATCAGGTCGTGGCAGCGGACCTTTTGGAAGCACTACCTTTTGCGCTTTGTCGCCATCCCGATGCCACTCGGTAACCTGCGCTGTAGAGGCAAAGTCCACCGCAGGAGACCAGTTGGGCAACGCCTCGAGAAACTCGATGGGAACTCGTGGACAGATCTTGTGAACACCCCCCGGACCCGAGTCGCTGCCCAGAATGAGTACGTCGGCGTATCGATCGTAAACACAGGCAAATGCGGTCGAGATGTTGCAATTAAAAGTGTCCATAGGCGTCACACGCTCCACTGAGCTGTCCTTGTCGGCCTCAAAGTACACAACCACGCCGTCTTCCCGTGCAAGAAAGATGCAGTCCCGTGTCTCAAAATAGGAGGCAAGCCGGAAAGGTCTCGTCCATGCTGTCCATAGCGGTAGGCGAGCGCCGTGGTGGGTAGGCGTCGGGGGAGGAGAGGACATCTCGATGGTCTCGAAGCTGGGCGGTCCATGAAGGCACTCGGTGCATACATCAATCTGGTGAGGTGATATGACGATAAAAGCCGACTGGACGGTCAGAGGAATGAGCAGCAGAGGCATCTGATTCTCCACGGGCATGCGATGGCCCTGCTTGTCCTCGGCAAAGACCATTTTCAGGTCATCCCCGAGCTTCCACTCGTAAATCACCATGCGGGACTTTCGATGTCTGACCACGATCAGGAGTAGGATGACGTGATTCTGGTCGCCCGGTCGTGGATATAGGAAGGTAATCTTGTGAATAACCCCGTTCACGCTCCGCAGACGGAATGATCTCACTGGGGACTGTAAAGGTTCGCCGTTGGCGTACTTCTCCTCCAAGCGCTCCCGTGATTCAAGCTCATAGACCACGAAGAAATCCTCGGCGTAGGCCAGAGCCATGTATCGCGAGCTGGGGTCGACCACGACGTGGAAGCCTGGGTGAGCCAGCCGCTGCTTCGGGCTCACGAAGCGAGTGGTAACAAACTCTGGCTCGCCGTTGGAGTCGGAACGGACGAACATAAAGACGCTGTCACCACTCTCCAGGGCCACCATCAGCATCTGCGGTGGGAGCCTGGGAGGAAGCCCAAACTGGCTGTCCTCCAGCTTGATGGGCGGTTGAGAAGAAAGAGCATCTTGTTCCTCTTCTGTCTTGATGTCGAAGCTGCCAACGACGCAGGCGTTTCGTATCCGAGACCCAAAGTTGACCTTCCTGACGATGTCCTTGAGACGTCCATCTCGGCGCAGCTCACGAATCTGAACAAAGTGGTCCCCAATAAAAGCGACGTCGTTGTGGAGGGGCGACCGTATCCTGACAGGCAGGATGGAGTTTATGAAGGGGCTCTCAACAATGGTCCGGGTGAGCAAGCCGCACCTTGGTGGCTTGAGGACTTGTTGCTGGGGGGCAGCGTCGACTTGTTGGCTCTTGACGATGGACTGCACGTTGATGGTTTCGGTCACCCACTGGCCGTCCCGGAGAACGTTTGTCTGGAAGGCCATGGTGATGTTGCCGGCGTACAGCAAGGCGGCGGGATTTCTTTGGGATTTTCCTGGGATCACACTGCACCTTTTGAGCTTTCTGAATTGAACCCGGGATGAAAGAGGCTCCCAGGCAGTGACCGAATCAGGAGAAGGCGCGGAGTCCTTCCGTGCATACGGCTAGGGGTACCAGGGCCTATCAGAATCAGGAGGGAAGCATGATCCCATGAAGATGAGCGACGGCGCTGCAGGCAATGTACGTCTTTTCCCGTCTTTTTGGTCTGCCGTGTTGTCAGCAGGCGCTGCACGCAATACTCTGGTAGGGTCAGCTTTTCTGAGGGCGGTCAGATTTCTGATATCTTTTATTCAGTCAGTCTGTGTTGGGTCCAACAGCCGAGAGAAGTTGGGAAGTTGGAGTTGGTGGGTGGCAGGTTGATGTGCTCGCGTGGGGCAGCACACGGCCCACGGCCAAATCGATCAAATGCCATCCACCCTCTCGATAGGTAGAGAAAGAGAACCTTACCTCACACCGGCAACCAACAACTAGTGAAGAGTTTTCCATGCTTTTGAACGGCAAAGCACATACCGCATCTCTCTCTTTTTTTTTCTTTTTCTTTTTCTTTTTTTATATCTTTTTTTTTTCTTTTTTTTTCCTTTTTTTCTTCTTTTTTTTTTTTTTTTTTTTTTTTGAGAATAGCAAAGTTACCTTACTCGGGGAGGAATCAGGACCCCTCCCTCCCGCCTTGCGTTAAGGTACCTTTGCTCTAGCGAAGCGATCAGATTCCTACCTGCTAGTCTATGTACATGGCCATCTCCAGCACCGTCTGCATTTGGCTTCTTCTAGGCCCTGCAATGCTTTGCTTTTTTACAAAGCACAGTAAACTATTGTCTTCGGAAATGTATCCCACAAACGTGATTCGTCACCTTCTGGTCTTGTCTCGAGTCCAAGTGAGTTGGCGGATACAATGGGCGTCCATGTCTCATCCAGCCCCGTACCGTGCCGACCAAGAGCAGATGTCACCCATACCAATTGACATATCACTTTCCATCGAGGGCCTCCAGACCATTTGGGACACCGACATTCCTTGGCACTGGAAGCCCTCTCGCGGCAATGATGATCCGAGTAGAGCTTCTCGAAGTTGCCTATTCTCATGAGGTTATCATTCAGAGTCGTCCCGTCTGGGGCATCGCTAACATGTACAGTGGGGGTCAACACTCATACAGCGCGGGGCAGACGTCGATTTTAGGTCCGATCCCTCTTACGTCACCGCGGACGAATCCCCATCTCCAGCGCTAAAATGGCCCTGGCATGAAAAAGCACGGGGCATCTTGCTGGCCTTCTCCAGCACCCCCTGTCCATGTATCTCCGGCGCTAGCACACGACAGACACCCCCTTCACTCACACACACTCGCAAGCTGCGAGATACGAAGCTCAAACTGGACCGGACAGATGGTGAGGCGCTTGTCCATAAGTCAAACCTACGGCAAGGGCTCGGTCATTTCTACCAGCCTCATCCCTCAATTCAGACTTGGTGCCGCCGTCCATCCCTGATTGGGCACTCTCTCCACGTCTAGGCCAGACTTGCCTAACCCATCATCGCAATATCAAACAAACCCCACGCCCCGGATCCGAAACTTCACTCATCCGCTAACACCGGCAAGCTGTGCATGAGCTCAGAGAAAGGGTTAAAAGAGAGAAAATGGATATGATGCTAGGCCCCGAGCCTGAAACCAACACGGCCGACTTTGACGAAAAGCCCATCAAGATGGAGGACCCCATCGACGAGAAACCCCCCGATCCCAAAGACGAAGCCGCCGAGCAAAAGAAAAAAGAAATCCTAAACGCATGCAAGACAAGGGACTTTGCCGCCCTCAGAACCCTTGCCGCCTCACCAGGAGGATTTCTAACAGACACCATCCGCCAACAAGCGTGTAAGTGACCCCGCTACCCGATGCCTTAGCATCATGTTCTTAACGTTTACTTTCCTAGGGCCATTACTGCTGGGCATCCCACCACCATCAGACACCAAACCAGAAGAAGAAGAAGAAGAAGAAGAAGAAGACTGGAAATCCCTTCCCCCTCACAAAGACGAATCCCAGGTCCAGCTCGACGTCAATAGAGCCTTTGTCTACTACCCCAACGACCAAAACGACACCCAGCTCTCCCACAGCAAAACCCTCCTCTCCACCCTCATCATCCGCACCCTCCGCCACCACCCGTACCTATCCTACTTTCAAGGCTACCACGACATATGCCAAGTCTTGCTGTTGACCCTCCCCCCGGCCCTCCAACCAGCCGCCCTGGCCCACTTGTCACTTTTGCGCATCAGGGATTTTATGCTACCGAACCTCCATCCTGCCATAGCACAACTGCGACTCCTCCCGGATATCCTGAGATCGTCCGACCCGGAACTATGGCAACATCTGTCATCGACAGAACCTTTTTTTGCGCTGTCGGGGACGTTGACGATGTACGCGCATGACATTACTAGTCTGGGGGAGATCACCAGGCTGTTTGATGTGTTGCTGGCGAGGGATCCGGTTTTCTCATTGTATTTGTTTGCGGCTATTGTTCGCTCCCGCAGAGGGGAACTGCTTGATATACCGGAGGATGAACCGGAGATGTTGCATTCGGTGCTATCGAAGCTGCCGCAGCCGTTGGATTTGGAGGGGTTGATATCTCAGGCGGTGGAGCTGGAACGAGAATACCCGCCGGAGGGGTTGAGGGGTTGGGGGAG